AGAGTCACCTAGAAGAAATTAGTCCCATGACAAAGCTTTGCTGAAGGCCAGCCACATGCACTTAGTACTATCATCAACCAAGTGGCTCAGGGCATTCTCCTCAATGTTTTCTTTTAACTTCCTTGCAGAGGAAGGCTGCTATAATTACTTCCACCCTAAAGATATGAAGCGTAGGCACAAGAAGGCGAAGCCAGCTGTCTGATGTCATAACTAAAATAGTACCAGGAACTGGGAACTGAAGGCAAGTATCCCAATTACGGACAAACCCTCCAACCATTTTGCTCTCCTAAGGATAATTTATGAAAAGAAATGCAAAACTATTTTGTTTTTTGAAGCTGAGAATGTCATGGGGTCTGGTACCATTAGCTCAGCCTTTAAGACTTGAATATTTATAACATGACAATTGGGTGAAGGCCTACTGGTATCTCTTTGGAAGCATTGTTCTTTTTTCAATTAATTTGGTTAGGATTTGGGAATTTTTGTTTGTTTAAAAAATGTGTTTGGGAGAGAATCCACAAGCTTTTAGGCTTTTATGAAATAGTCCATGGATCAAAGACCTTTGTAAATCTCTTTGCAAAGAGATTCCTTATTTACCAGACGAAAGGCAGCCCTTCTTTACACTTAAAAAAAAAAGAAAAAAGGGACGGACTCTCCGTGATTGACATCATATACAGATCTTTGAAATCTTGTATATTATGAACCCAACATCCCAAAAAGTAGGCAATAAGACATTTGGCACCCTAATGATTTAACAAAATTCTGTGCACAGAAATTAAAATCCTAGGCAGAAGAAATGCCAGGAAAGAAATTCCTAGTTTTCTCTCTGCACTTTATAGACAATATGCCATCTAGGTAACTTATGTTATAAGAAAGTCTTTATGATCGCCTACTCTCCCTGAGGTTCTGTGTACCCCACTGTCACAGAAAATGGCAGGCACAGGCACACACTGGAAACAGTCCCCTAACTTAGAGCTCATGCTATTGGTCCTTTAACTACAGAAACATATTAGAGGTATTTCAATATACATTAGCATTTTTTATTTGGAAAAAAACCTTTGTGATGCTCCTGTTGTTGGTTCCCAAAGAGAATCCAGATACTTTAGGAAGGAGGGGGTTATTAAATTTATCTGCATCTGAAGTACAACATACTCCACACCATGGATGAATTGAAGGCAGAACCATGGAAGTACTCTAACCGGAATTACCAATCCAAGGACTGGTAAAATTATGAACTCCTCTATCGTACATGTCAAGTATTAGGTTGCAACTCTGACTCATTCCTGACAAAAACACTTTCTTTTTTATCAGCTTCTGTGTATGCAAATTACATTCTAAGAAAGACAGTAATTGTAATTTTTAAATCTCAGATCACATTGGGGTGAAAAGTGGAGTACAGAATCTTATGGGGTCATACGTTCAATCTCTTAAAAGAGAATTTCACCAACTAAAGTTCAATGAGAGAGACAAAGGTGGAAGGAAGGAAGGAAAAGACAGGTGTCACTTCCTCAAATATGGTCAACAATTAGGGTACTAAAAGTTTTCATTTTTTCCAGTTACTCATCACACCCTTTGCCACATGGTGTTTAATTTCCTAGTTTTTTTCCCCTTTTTTCCAACTTACTACCCATGTAAGATTTCATGAGGTAAGCAACAGGTTTACAGCTTTTACAAATTCAGGAACTAAAACATCTTACTGACCAAAAAAAGTAAGGCACGGAGTAATACACAGGATGATCCTTTTGTGTTTTTTTAAAGCATGTATCTTGTTTCCTAAATTTCTAAAGTATAGCTGAAAGTTATGTATAAATATTTTTAGCTAATAATAATTAATAATTTTTGGTTAATAATAGCACACAGTTGGAGGGGAAGAGAGAAGTACGGCAAGGGAGACTTTCGCTTTTCATATTCCCCCTTTGAAATTGCTAGAAACTTGTATTTTTCTGTTTGCCTTCTTCAGTAACTTAAAATTATTTTAAATACAAAAAGTTCAAGAACCACACTAAGAACCTCCACCACTAACCTGTTCAGAGAGCCTCTCCAGTAGAGGGCATGGGAGATTCAACATGGAAAATGTATGGTTCGTTTATCAAGCCACTCTCCAGCTGTGACTTTGCTGTGCAATATTTACAACCCATTGCATTGTTTCTTCCTCCACCATGGAATGGAAAATATGTGTCATCTTAATATTGAGCAATCCCATTTACCTAAAAGCCAGTCGCAACAAAAAAACAAAGGGAAGTCATCAAACAGTAGCTTGCCTTTCAATATACATCTGCCTGTCTTTATAAACGACAAGAACGTGGCAACTTTTTGATGAAAAGATTTCTTAGTCTATAGGTGATATTGCCTTAACTCTTAACATTACCCATAGATACAGAAATGATAAATTTACATTCAGATTTATCAACCTCATAATTTTAAGGAAAAAATTAATTTTCTGCCACTTAACATCAGATGTTAATTGGAAATGGTTTAGGAAAAAAGCAAATAATGACATTAAATTTACAAAAACATCTAGAATAGTCTACATTTAAAGCAGTTGCTTACATAGATTCATGTATATTCACTTTTGTGAATATACTGAGATGATTGAACTTTGCTGGCTTGGAGATGTCTGGAAAGTTTAAATGTCAAACAGTTTGCTTATTTTCCTTACGTGCTTATTATCCAGAGAGCATTTAGTAAGTATCTATTAAGAGCTTGATACTCTACAAATCTCTTGACATTATCTTCATATTTTATTTTTTTTATTTTTTGTGAGGAAGATCAGCCCTGAGCTAACATCCATGCTAATCCTCCTCTTTTTGCTGAGGAAGACTGGCTCTGAGCTAACATCTATTGCCAATCCTCCTCCTTCCCCTCCCCCCAAAGCCCCTAGACGTATGTCATAGCTGAACATCCTTCTAGTTGCTGTATGTGGGACTCGGCAGCAGCATGGCCGGAGAAGCCATGCGTCGGTGCACGTCCAGGATCCGAACCCGGGCCGCCAGCAGTGGAGCTCCAGCACTTAACCGCTAAGCCACAGGGCTGGCCCTATCTTGATATTTTAATAGGACCTACAGATTCATAACCTAATTAACTCAGAGTTAATCCTTTAATGATTTTTCTACCTGTAATAGCTACGCTTCCAGATATTTCCTTTTTCACACATATGCAAATTAATAATAATAAACTTTGTATTGTACTTTAGAATTTACCAAGGCCTTTCAGGTAAGATTCACATAATATCTAAGGAGGTTGGCAAGAAAGATGCATTACTCTCAATACAGATGAGAAACGGGCTCAAGAAGGTGTGATGGGGCAGTTCCAACAGTTACCTAGTAATTACTGGTTAAGCTCAGACTATAACTAGGTCTCCTAACAGAAACCCAGCTCTCTCTCCCTGCTGCTTTTGTCAGAACTCCTGGCCTTTCCAGAATGAGCGAATTCTACCATCCAAGGTTTTAAGTGGAAAATACGACTGAGATTTACATTTGCAAGGAAAAGCAAGTGTCTGCATATTACACATATTTAATAAATAAGTACTGAATCATCAGAAAGTGAAAATAGATATAGGAAATATTATGCAAACTTCTTTTAGAGATGAGCATAAGCTTGAGAAGGATGACATTCTTACATTTCGCACAAAGTATTCACAACTGAAATCGAAATGATTTTCCTTTCTATAATAAGGTACATGGCTGTTCTCTTGAGTAATAATTGCAAATTTTACCCTCCAAGTCAAACTTGGAGCTCCAACTACTGGCAGCTCACCATAAGAATATGTTAAACTAGTTCCAATTTTCTTTTAACAGTTCGATGCAAAGTAGGAGAAGATTTGCAGCCCAGTAAACACCTTGCTGTTAATCTTACTGTCCACTTAGATGCTTGATGGGAAAACCACTTGAATATTCCAATCCCCAGTTTTAATAATGTTATCTGAAATCAAACCATTTTGTAGTTGAGGTTATCTATTTGTCCTTACCTATCAAACCATTTAAAGCCCCCTACAGTTGAGAGGATTTCTGAAGAACTAACAAATTAAACTTTCGCAAGCAAACTGTTAACTTCTCACCTCCCCCCTTTTGCCAGTTAAGAGTTCTGGTAAATTCTAAGCCAACCAAGAATGACTCATGAGGAAATCCTGCATCCTTGCGCTCTTAACACTAGAACGATTCCGGTGCGTTACAGCTGCGAGGTCTCGGTGTTTCCCTCTATCTCGTAAGGAGATATGTGATTTCTATTCTGGAAGGACTCCGGAGGATTAAGCCTGCAACCCCACGGACAGACCCAGCCACGTGTCTATCGGTGATCAAAAACGCACACCGTTAAAGCACTGTCGTCTGACAAAGTCACTTTCCCCTGGTCCTTCCCTGACTCATGTTCATTACCCAAAAGTGTCCCCAGATGCCCAGGCAAGCTGCAGAGGAGGTCACACCGTGTGCCCTTCGACCAGCACTGTTCCTCCCGTTCACCGTTTCCTTCCCCAAACTAAATGGAGTCGCAGAGGGGAACGGGCGCGGGCGGGGGGTCCCCCAGTTTACAGACCCAGAAAGGAGGCGTGAGGAGAAGGGGCGCGCTCCAAACACCAGGGGCAAGTCTTAACTCAAAGTAAGGTGATTGCACTCTGGTTCGCAACCAGCAACCTTGCCCTGCGGGGAGTCATCACTTTCTGGGGTCGGGAGCACGGGAGCGTGGGGGAGGGGAAGGAGGCGAGGAGGGCGAGCGCCACCGACTTCGGCTCCTCCCTGGGCCGGAGGGACCGGCCGCCCCGCCTGGAAGAGATCGCCCGCGGCGACTCACAGTGAAACCTCCGTCCGCTCCGAGTGCGCACGACACCGGGTCCACAGACGTCAGCAGCGCCCTCGCTCTGAGACGCTGCGGCGGCGCCCGGGACCGCACGGGCCGGCGCTGCCCCGCCCCCAGGCCCGGCTGCAGCCGGCCAATCGGCGCCCTCTGGAGGCGGGACCGGCGACGTGAGGCCCCGCCCCCGCGCCTCCGCCTCTTATAAAGGCGGCAGCGCGCGCCCTGCTGCAGACCCCGGCGGCGCCAGTGGTTAGAGTAGCATGCAAAGTGCCATGTTCTTGGCTGTCCAGCACGACTGTGGCCCCATGGACAAGAGTGCAGGCAGCGGCCCCAAGAGCGAGGAGAAGCGGGAGAAAATGAAGCGGACTCTGTGAGTACGGCTTTGTTCTCTCTCCCGCCCCCCGCTGCCGACCTGGCTCCCCGGGCGGGCTGCAATCGCGGTGCATTCGCGCTCGGCTTGGACATTGAGAACTATGTAGCCTGCGCCTCTGCAGGAAAAAAAAAAGTGGAAAAGGTTAATTTGCTCCGTAAGGTTGTTTGTGTGGTATATACTTATTTTGTTACGTGAGCGAGGGACTCTCGGGTAGTTTAGGAGCTGAAAAAAATTCTTGATTTTTTTCGGTGGTAGATGCGCTAAGAAATTACGGGCTGGCTTTTTGTCCCCCTGCATTGAAATGACATCAGAGAATCCTGCGGCTGAAGGGCGTCCCCGGCCTTTGTGCGTTGAATGATAAGTTCTGATCAGCTTACACAGCTGCTGGGATGGAGATATTTTTGCTAGTTCTGAATATATTCCTTTTGAATCCATTTTTATTTTTTAATTGAAAAGCAGATCTCGCACACTCACGGCTGTGGAACAAATAATTGTTCTGCATCAGCTGCTTAAAATGAGGGTTGTAGTTGGCGAGGGTGGAGGCAGTCATACACACACGCGCGCGCACACACACACACACACAGACACCTCATTGTACACAGCTTCTGGCGTGGTCCAGAGCCTCCTGCTCCAAGGGTAGAGGTAAATGAGCGTGGGCGTGCTCAAGGCAGTTCCACTGTGGTTTCATCAAGTGTGAAATGTCTCAGAATTGTAATTAAGTGGCAGAAAAACTGCTGCCTTTTGTGAGCCAGAAATAGCATCTGCCTTTTGAATTATGTAATCTAAATTCATTAAAATACCCTAGTAATTTTAGGTATTTCTGCCCTTAGTTACAAAACTAGTAATTATGTTCAGATGAACAGATGAAACTGATTATGTTCAGTACATAGGTGCTGGGTTTAAATGTTAGATAAATAAGACTGACTTGAAGAGTTGGTGTTTTGTCTTATTTGGTTTGTGTGCAGCTACTGGGCGACTTTATTTGGTAAAAATGCCTTTGGCTGCGGTAGCGACTTCAAGTGTTGCCACTTAGTGAATATCTTTTGTTTTTTTTTTTTTAGATTAAAAGATTGGAAGACCCGTTTGAGCTACTTCTTGCAAAATTCCTCCTCTCCTGGGAAGCCCAAAACTGGCAAGAAAAGCAAGCAGCAAACCTTCATCAAGTAAGTTGAAAATCTTGTAGTTGCAAATATGAATAGCTGGACTGCTGAGCTGAAAAGAGAAAGTGGATGTGCATAAGCTAATGTGCAGAACCTCTCCCTTGCAGGCCTTCTCCTGAGGAAGCACAGCTGTGGTCTGAAGCATTTGATGAGCTGCTAGCCAGCAAATGTAAGTTACTCGCTTGAATTGGATCCATTTCAAGTATCACAAGAGTCTAGAAAGGTTGTGTCCACATCACAGAAAAGCAGCTTGCCCAAGGGGAATTCGAATTTACAATCACTATAACATAAGGCCTATTTTTATCCTTTATTTCCCAGTGTTAAATCATGGAAATGCATAGTTTATTCACTCCTGTGGGAAAGAAAAAGTAGCCTAAAAAAATTATAGTAGCAATTGCTCTTTGTTAAGGTTGGGTTAGCTTTTCCATTGCATACACTATTGTCAAGAGGCTTCGTTCCCAGAGAACTTGTGACTCCCCTGTAAATATTTGCATTGACAGCAAAGTTAAGTATTTATATTTTTGTAGCAGTGTGCCAACTTGAAGGATTTTTCTTACTGGCACCGTAGTCTTTAAAGAGCTAAATTCCGAGGATTACAGGTTTGAGTGAAATCTAGAAAATTGCTGTCATCCAGAAACAATGAAATATGGGAGCAAGAGAATGGGAGTTCTAGAAAAAATAGGATTATTTGGTGACTCAGTTCTTCACATTCCGTATCCGTTCTCCCCCATCCCTTCTTCTAGATGGTCTTGCTGCATTCAGGGCTTTTTTGAAATCTGAATTCTGTGAAGAAAATATTGAATTCTGGCTGGCCTGTGAAGATTTCAAGAAAACTAAGTCACCCCAAAAGCTGTCCTCAAAAGCAAGGAAAATATATACTGACTTCATAGAGAAAGAAGCTCCAAAAGAGGTAAGGGAAAAAAAGTTTCCTCATTTCAGTGTATTTTGAACATTCTTAGCGCCAAACTGAAGCAAGAATTGAAGAGACAGCACATTAAAAGTGGGGCAGGGGTGGAGGGAAAAATGTCTTCCCCTCACCCTAGCTTTCAATTAAGTTCATTTTCTTCAGTGACTTGGCTGGTGAAGCCAATTGTGCATTATAGTTTTTGTTTGTTTTTTTGTTTTCAAATATTAAATAGATTTCAGTCTCTAACTCTGAATATGGAATAAACCACTTCTTTGTTTTATTGCAGATAAACATAGACTTTCAAACCAAAACTCTAATTGCCCAAAATATACAAGAGGCGACAAGCGGCTGCTTTACAACCGCCCAGAAAAGGGTATACAGCTTGATGGAGAACAACTCTTACCCTCGTTTCTTGGAGTCAGAATTCTACCAGGACTTGTGTAAAAAGCCACAGATCACCACAGAGCCCCATGCTACATGAGATGGAAGACCATGAGATGGACCCCAAAAGTGGAGGACATTTCATTTTTTTCCTAAGGGGAAAGGCTGTGTGACCTGCCAAAAAGACTGACCTTGAATTCACCCTGGGTGTTCAGGAGACATCGCTCAGAACTATTGATTCAAAGTTGGGTAGTCAATCAGGAAGCTGGTAGCCTTCTAGAAGGGGCTTGTATCAGGATGGCATCCATAACTGTGTAGAACACAGGGAGAGTGGTCTGAACGTGGCGTGTCTCACACTGGAAAAGCCAGAATGGGAGACTGGAAGATACGATGTAATGCTAGTGGTCCAAAAGCGTTTAGAATCAGTAGACCTGGGATTATGTGGCCTTAGCTAGCTGGCTGTCCATCTTTCCTTGAATCAGTCCACGTTACCACGTAGTGGTTTTAGTTTTAGTTTAGTACTAAGTAACATTAAAACGTTTACTGTGTGCAAGGGTATTGAAGTTCTTTTGCCTCCAGATCATGAGTACTGTTGTCTCATGTAACTCTAAACCTGAAATGGTCTGTGTTTGAATTGTTAAATGGTGTGTGTAATAGAATGAGTGCTGTCATGTAGAAAACTACAGTGTCCATGATGAGTGCCAAACTGTCCTGAAGGCAGCTACACTTTGAAGTGGTCTTGGAATACTTTTAATAAATTTATTTTGATAAATAAGGTCATTGAATATTTGGTCCAGATGTGAGTGGTTTGGGGGGGTTTTTGTTTTGTTTTGTTTTTCGGTAATCGGAAATATGGCCGATACGAGGGAAAACATCTCCTTTCTGGTGGAGAAGAGGCATCATAATTGATGAGCCTGTGTAGTGAGAATTGCCAGTCCTTGGAACTGGGAAATGATAGTTGCAGGGAACATATGTTCCTTTTGCTAGGATGCTTTTGTAGGTCAAAGGAGGTCATCATATCCTTAGAACCACCCTAGGATCAAGCTTTCTAATATGACCTTGTAAAAATCAAGCTTGTTAATGAAAACAGAAGAACATTAACCTAAAGCCCTTAATGAGTAGCTGTTACAGACTAGCTAAATATGAGAAGTAAAATAAGATAGTGGAGACAGCACCAAAATTATCACACAACTTAGCTTCTCAGATGAAAAAAGCCCAATAAAGTGAATGTAGGCCTGTCTTTTTTATTTCCCTTGGGTCCAAGTTCCCCCACAGGGTACTGGCATGAGCGTCGAAGATATAAACCTGAAATTCACTTCCATGATGGATCAATACAAAATCAGAATTTTCCTGAATCTCCTGCCTGCATTTGGCCAAGAAAGAATCTGATTATGTGACTTTAGCTAATGAGGAAAGCAAAAGAAGCACACTTGTGTTTCTTAGGCTTCATCTAGAAATGTGCTCTTTTCCTAGTTGAGAGGGAGGCCTTGAATCTGTTATTTTTCAAACTGGCTATTCAGAAAAGGAATACTCTTCGCCAGCAGGCTGCTTTTTCCACCTCTGATTATGGTTTTAATTTTAAAAAAGGGGGAGCCCTCATCTTGGATTTGGAAAACCTGAGCCCCCGTAATGATTTCTCAGAGCTCTGTGACCTTGGGAGTCCTCATCTTTCCTGGCTCCTTATTTTCACCTTCCTCCTATCCCACTGGTTCCTGTGAGGTAGCAAGGGGCTTTAGAAATTGTAAACCACTTTAAAAAAAAAAGGTAGCATTTATTCTGATTTGCCAAAAGAAAAATTGACCTCCTGTAGTTTAAATACTGTTTTCATTGTGCTTGTACTAATTTTCACCTTAACCAGACGTTGTGGCACCAACGGCACAAGCTCCTGTGTCGCCAGCAGCCAGAATAGTACATAATATGCGCTCCATAAATAGTGGTTGAATAAATGAATTCTGAAGGGTCATTGAAAGAGAGATTTCTTTGGAGGATAAATACGTCAGATCTGCACAAGCCTTAATTTGGAAAGGTTTTGGCAAGCAGAGAAACCCAGGAGTCATGCCATATATCTAATTTGTCAGCAAGTCCTATTTATTTTACCTCGAATCTCCAGCCTGCTTTCCCTCATCACCTGATCAAAGATGCCACCATCTGATGGCTGGATGACTGCAATAGTCGTCTCAACTTGTCTCCCCTCACTGGCTCTTCCCCCCTCCTATATGCTCCCTGCTTTTTAACTCTAGAGGTCCTTCAGGATATAACCCTGATCTTGTCTCCTGTTACCTACTAACCCTTGACAGGTTTCCCAAACAATGAGGATAAAGGCAATATCCCTAATATGGTCTAACACCTGCATAGCTTGACCCCTCATTCCACTCCAACCTTGGCTCCATCACGTTTCCCCCGGCTCTCTCTGCTAGCCACACCGGCCTACTCCTATTCCCTCGTAGGTACCATGCCCACTGGTCCCACAGGGTCTTTGCACGTAATAATTCCTCTGCACAGAATGCAATTTTAGCTCTTACTCATCATTCATAGATCGGTGGAATTGTCGCTTCCTCAGGGAGGCCTTCCCTAACCTCTTTCTCTAGGTCATGTCCCTTTTTAGACATTCTCATAGCATCAAGTTCTCTCATTTGGAGTGCTTAATAAGAGTTCTTGTTAACTTGTACGAATACTTGACAATTCTATGTCTTCCCTCACTAGACTGTTGAGGCCACGATTTGAGGGCTCTGCTTTACTGCTCACTGCTGAACCCCAACACCAAGCACGATGCCTGGCACACGAGGGGAGCTGCATAAATCATTGTTGAAGGAATGAATAACTAGGAAAAGGGCCTAGAAACAAATTTTGATGATAGAAGAAGTATCCACAAATGCACGAGGAAATAAGGATAAAGTTTTAAAAGCCCCATTGGCTCAACTGTCTGAAAATATCTACAGAGCTTTTTCCTTTGGCAAAAAATAAATATCTCTTACTAGGCATGTTCTCTATAACTTTTGACCTTTAATAGGAGAAGCCAGATTATACTAACAAAAAATAAGAGTTTTGACTTTTTCAAGGCTGCTAAAAGCACAGGCTTTACTCAGGTGGTATTTCTCAATGTTCTCCAGCGTGGAACAAACTGAAATAGATTTAAGATTAGAAACCACATACCTCCACAAATAAATATTACTTCATGTTCCAGTTTCTCAGAGTTCATATGTTTAGGATCCACAGTGCTTTCGTTTTGAAGATATTTCATTTTTCATGTATTTTAAACCAAGGGCCATTTTAAAAGATGGTAATTTCATACGGTCCCACTGAAAAAAATAGAAGAAATTGTGTATTAGCTGTCATTTGAGCACAGGGAGGCAATACATGAGTTTCAATGAGATGGCTTAAAGTGATCACCCAGAATTTTGTAGGAAACGGGTTTGGTAGAGGATGGGTTGGTTGATTGGTTGGTTGGTTGGTTTTACCACAATAGTTGATCATTTATGACAGTGATTCTCACCTTGTGGGTTGGAGAGTGAAGAGAGTTTCTCTACGTCATGAGCAATGTTATGGACGGAGGTGCATTGTGCATTTGGACAATATGGAGATTAGGAGGTGCCTACCCTGTGCCAGGCAATATACTAAGTTCTAACTGTATTTTCCTATGTTAGCCCCAAATTGCAGCTAAAGGAGTTAGTCTGACTTTATAAGACAGCATCGCCACTATTAAACAGTGCAGTTGACAAGTACAGAGAGCCCCAGGGTCTGGCTTAGCTGCCTTTTGACAACTTTAGAAAACCATTTTCTGTGTTTTTGTCAATGGCGAGGAGATGAGGTTTTCTAATTTTTGGCGTCCTAGCTAAGGAGCAGCTTGGAGTTGCTTGAGGTGACGAGGACAACCCAAAAGAGCTTCTCCTGTGACCTGAAGGATAAAAAGAGGAATCACCTGCAGGAGTAAGAAGTATATTCTAGCCTAAGGCGACAGCATTAAACAAAGGCCTGATATTAACATTTTGGGCCCATGATCCAGCATGACCAGACCACACTACATGTGGAGGATAAAGCCTAGGGTGGGTATAGAAGCTTAACTCAGGACCAGGTCATAGAGGGCCTTGAATTCTAAAGGTTGGGATTTTATCCTGAGGCCATGGATACCAACCTCAACTAAAATGCATAAAAGTAACTTGGACAGCAATTTGAAGGATGAACTGGGGGCAGGGAGATGAGTCAGGAGACTGCAGTGATAGCCCAGATGAGAAATACCATGTGCCTAAACCAGGATATTGTCACCAAACAATTCAATGTAACTTAATAGCAAATTATTCATCACCTGCTCTGAGCAGAACCCATGGATCTAAACCATACAAGGAATAAATATAAAGACATCTGAGACATATTGCCTGTCCTCCAAGAGGCACCAATTAAGTATCTAATGAAATAATGTACAGAAAGTAAAATATAAGCTGGGCTATGATTGGTGATTATCAAAAAAGAAGTGCACATGCTTTTAGCTGAAATGAATCAAGAAACACTTTAAGGGAAGTGGCATTTTTAAATAAGATTTAAAGAACGGGTAGGATTTAATAAGGATGAAAGGGAGAGTATTCAGTGTGGAGAAACAGTTTAAATATAGGGAAAGGGGAAAGCAGGAGTACATCTTGCATTGTACTATGATATTTTTGTAGGCAGGTATTTTTAGTGGGGATGTATATTTGAAAGCTATTTCATTGATTCATTTTTTGGCAAATATATGAAGGGTTTCTCTGGGCAAGGCAGATGTGAAAGAGTAGATGAAATGGTCATCTGTTCAGAAGGAAAGGAACAGAAAGGCTGGAAGCTCAAAAACACAACTAAACTCTCAACTTTATTTTTCTCAAAAACAGATTTCTGTAAGATCATCAACCAGCCTAGTCATCAAGCTCTGTTGAATCTTCCTTCAGGTTCTTGCCCCTCTCTTACTACAGCCAAGAGCTTACTCGCCATCGTCACCCTCCTCTCACTAGATCTCGAGGGGTCTCAGATCTTGTGTCCTACTTCTAATTTATTCCCTAGACTGCTATTTGAACATTGATTTTCTCACATCACTCTTATGACCAGAAAAATATATGAACTCTCTGATCTCCCAAATCAGGAAAACTCCTATACCTAAGGTTAAAAGTTCTGTTTTTTTCTGCCCATCTAATCTTTTTTTTTTTTTTTTGTGAGGAAGATCAGCCCTGAGCTAACATCCATGCTAATCCTCCTCTTTTTGCTGAGGAAGACTGGCTCTGAGCTAACATCTATTGCCAATCCTCCTCCTTTTTTTTTCCCCCAAAGCCCCAGTAGATAGTTGTATGTCATAGATGCACATCCTTCTAGTTGCTGTATGTGGGACGCAGCCTCAGCATGGCCGGAGAAGCGGTGCGTGGGTGCGCACCTGGGATAGAACCCGGGCCGCCAGTATCGGAGCGCGAGCACTTAACCCCTAAGCCACGGGGCCGGCCCTGCCCATCTAATCTTATTTCCCACCACTGACCAAAAACATTCAATGCTGGATTTTCTTATTGTCCCTGAGATATATTATTTTTCTCCTATTATTAGATCAAATTTTTCCCCTTACCTAGAACTGCTCTCTCTTCCCTTAAATTTTCCTCATTTTTCAAGGCTCAGATCAAGTTTCACTTCTATGAAATATTGTAAAGGGTATGTCAGTCTTATCTCCCAACTAAATGGACAATAACTGGACCATTATTCTACCTAGTTTTCAGAGTAACTAGTAAAATTTCATACATGGAAGATACTCAGCACCATTGATTATTGATT